TGCCCCTGCGCAACAACGGGAAGACGCGCTTCCACCTCGAGGGCGGCACCTACCCCTGGGTGGTGGACCGCGTGGTGTTCCCCATCATCACCCTGCTGCCCCCCGTGCTGGTGGCCTTCTGCACCCATGACCTGGAGTCCCTGGTGGGCATCACGGGGGCCTACGCGGGCACGGGCATCCAGTACGTCACCCCCGCCTTCCTGGTGTACCACTGCCGCAGGGACACCCAGCTGGCCTTCGGCTACGGGACCGTCAACAAACACAGGTCCCCTTTCCGCCACACCTTCTGGGTGGGCTTCGTGTTGCTCTGGGCCTTCTCCTGCTTCGTCTTCGTCACAGCCAACATCGTCCTCAGCGAGACCAAGCTCTGATGGCAGGACGTGTCGGTGATGGCAAAGTGGGGCCTGGCCTCCTCACCCACAGAGCGGAAACTGAGCTGCCTCCCAGGTCCTCATGGACCAGGGGAGACTGGGGCTCTCCGAGGGACCCTCCACATCTCCAGCTGGGGGTCTTCCTGCCAGGACTCTGCGCGCTGGTCAGCACTGGCCTTGCCCACTGGGGTAGCCCCTGTCCCGGACCGTCCTGCCTGGTGTGACCTCTGGCTGCTCCCAGGCCTTGTTAGGAACACCCCTCCGTTTTACACACACGGCACTCCCGTCTCCAGAGGCGGGCTCCTCCCCGTGCGCGGTGGGAAACGGTACTGCCACTGCTGCTGTTTATGCCAGACCTCCGGCCCCTCCTCCCAGCCTCTCCTGCACCCTTGCCTGGGAATTTGGCCCCATCAGCAGCCGCTGCCTCTTCAGAGGTGAGTCCCAGGCTCTCCCATCCCAACCAGGCCGCCTTCCCAATAGGCCTAGGAGTCGCTAAGTGCCACTCCTGGGGAAGAGCCTGTCCAGCCGGCGACAACAGGAAGTGCTAAGTGTCACCGAGGTCCCTGGACCTGAGCCGAGAGGGCCCTGCTGTGGGCGCCGGCCCTGGAGCAGCAGGCTGGGAGTGAGGGTCATCCCTCCCGTGGGGCACAGCACCTGGAGGCTGGGCTGGAAGACTGGGACTTGTGATCCCTGAACGCGGCCCTCGGCTCTCCCGGCTGCCCCGGAGCCCTCAGGGCCCCTGTAGCACAGGGAGCGTTGGAGGGAAGCTGCCCCTCCTACCCGTCTCAGCAGCTCACGAGTGCCCTGAGTTTGTGGCCGTGAGGGCTGCATGGCACCCACCCTGCTCAGCTGGCCTGCTTCTACTCCCTTGGGGCGACGGGTGGGTGGGGCACCTCGCTGTGCCCTCCCACAGCAGAGGCGGATTCCTAGGCACCTCCTGCTCCCAGGTGCACGTGCACCTGCTGGGCAGCCCCCTCAGAAACACAGGTGGCTCTAAGGAGCCCCACGTGCCTTCTCCTGCTTCAGGACCTAGGGCCCTTCCTGACCCACTCTGGCTTGCCTCCAGCCCTGGGCCAGACCCACCTGTCCTGGAGCCAAGCAGCTGGCCTCAAGCTGCCTCCCTGGGGCGGGGTCTCGGGCTGCTGCGTCTCCCTCCCCATTTTGATTTCAGTGCCTTGCTCGGCCCTCAGGAGGGCCCCTCTGTCACCCCCTCCCCTTGCATCTTCAAGCTTTGGATAGGGGGGCGATGCTGGGGTTCCTGGGGCCCGAGGTGGTTTCAGGATCATGGGATGTTTGGGGTCGGCAGGAAATGTGGGGTGTCAGCAGGCAGCACCCCTCCACCTCTGGCCCTGCCGATGCCCCTATGAGAACCCCGTGTCGTCCTTGGCCCCATCTGCTTTCTGTCATCACAGTGGGCAGTTCACATACCGTGTCCCCTCATCCCTCTGTGTTTCCATCCACGTGAAAAACAATCATCCCTCCCCCTCTGCCATCGAAGCTGCCTCCCAGGAGGCCCTGCCCCGGGGTGGGCAGAGCCAGAGGGCACTGCAGTAGTGGCGCCAAGAATGACAAGACCTGGCCCATCCCCCTGTGGCTCGGGCCCTCCCTGGAGCTTGCCGCTGTTTGCTGAAAACTCAATTAAAACATCTGTACTTACCCGTCTCCGATTGCATTCCCTCTTGCTTAAGGACAAAGCAAATTAAATCATCTCGCAGCCCCGGGCTCCAAACCAGATTTGGGACGCAAATTTATAAGCATCATAAAGCCCAGATGATTTATGTGACAGTCCGGAGCTGCGGAGCAGTGGAGTCAGTGGCCGTGCACCCCTCCATGGTCTCGCCGGGGCAGCCCCAGCCATGGAGGGAATTGGCCCGGGGTGACCGGGTGACTGGCCGTGGCACTGGCTTCTTTACCCCTCGTGTTTACCTGCCGTCTGTCCTGCTCGAGGTCAGAGAGCTCACCCTCCTTTCCACGGGGAGGGCACCCCGCGGCTAGACGCTCGCCATCCCATGGTCGAGCTCACTTCTCTGCGCGTTTTCACGCCCACATGGTGAGGTGGGCAAGTGAGGTTGTGTTTTCCCCTTTGCAGGTGCTCCTAGGCCGGTGGTGGGGAGGGCAGGAGAAGAAGCCGCCTGGCCGTAGGTCCACATGTTCCTCTGGAGCGCTGCAGCTCGGGCGCCCCTTGGACGGCTGCTGGCCCCCGGGGGCAGGCCGGGTCAAGGTGGGAGTAGACGCTCTGCCTCGTTCCTGCCAAAGCACCAGCCCCACGCGAGCATCAGAGCCTCTTGCCAGCAGCTCCGGTTGTGCCTCACCTGAGGCTTGGAAGTGGGGCAGATGGCAGGTGACAGGCTGGGAGGCACTGCTGAGCGGCGGGAGGTGGGCTGTGGGCACGGCGCCAGTCCCCTGGCCGCACAGCTGTTCTCGCCCAATGGGGGCCAGGAGCAGCCTGGGCAACAGGCAGAGGCTGAAGCCGAATATAGGGAGGGCAGCCAGGTAGGCAGGGAGCGGCTGGCAGCGCTGGGCCCTGGGGACGTGGAAGGCAGACACCTCACTCAGCCTGTCCAGGGTCAGATCCCTGAGCAAGGCTGACTCCCTGAGGGCCACTGAAAAGTCAGCTTTTCAGAGACCAAGATGTCACGCTGCAGGAGAGAGCTCTGTGACCCCTGTCCCCGGAGCCTGTGGCCGACAGCGTGGACTGCAGACGAGGAGGGAAGTTGTGCCTGCTAGGGGCCTGTTAGTGCCGGGCACACAGCGCTGGCACTGGCCGTGGTCACGGGCATTCAGACCTGCTGCTGGAAGTGCAGGCTGGTGCCTGGCAGAAGTGCTCAATAAAGCTGTATGTGCTGAGCCCGCAACCCTCGTCACTCACCAGCTGTGACTGCAGCTGTCACCACGGACCCCTGACTCCGTTAAGACTCCCGGCACCTGGTGAGTTGAGCCACTGCCTGTGGCAGGACAGAAATGACAATTGGCCTGAGTTCTTCAGGGTCCAGAGGGCTTTGGGGAGAGGGGTTGTCCCGGAGCCCCTCATCTCCTAGAGAACTAGAGCCCAGCCCTCCACTTTCAAAGAGCAAGAAGCTAGGCTGGGGGACCCTGCACGAGGGCCTCGTCCCTCCCCCTCAACACACACACACACATGTGCACGAGGGCTCCCTGGAAGCTGGTCTGGACCTGAGCCGCTGGGCTGAAAGCAGACCAGGAAAACGCTGACCAGTGGGAGCCAGGTTGGACAGCGGCAAGAATCCTCTGTCTGAGTCCGCGGCAGAGGGCTCTCCCTGCAGCCCACCGAGGGAAGGAGCAGTACTTGGGTGGCCAGGCCCTTGTTACAGTGATCTCAGGTTGATGGCCTCACTTTCCTCTTGTCCTCTTCTTGCCCGACTTTGTGCCCTCCCCTTGGTGGTGCAGGGGACCAGGGCTGGAACCCACCAGAGGCATCATGCTTCCTGCCTGCCCCTCACGTTCCACCCCGCCTAGAGAAGGAGCAAGGCTGCTAGTCCCTGGCTGGGCGGGGAGCGGGAGAGGCTCCTTCTTGGAGCCTGGCGGCTCAGTCCCACATTTGGCTCTTAATTATCTTTCCAGTTCTTGGTTATTAATGATCTTGGGCAGCGAGCGGAGCAGCCTTCCAGCCGCACCTGCTGCAGCTTCCTCAAAGCAGCAGGCAGACCCTGACTCAGGACCCCCCCCCCCCCCCCCCCCCAGCCCTTAACCCCCTCACCACCAGTGGCTGCAACCACAGAGACTCCCTTCCAGAGCATTGGCTTCTAACACTTAACCTTGACCCAGACCCCACCTGTTGTCACACCCCTGATCCTGGACCTGGATCCAGCCCATGCAAAAGCATAAGGCAGTGAAATTGATTGGCCAGCCAGTGGAATGGTAGTTAAGATGGCTGGATCCTACATGGCCAATTGGTTCGAGTCCAGAACCCGGCAGCTTGGAAAACATGCCAGGCACATGTGTGTGCTTGCCCAAGACCCTGAAATGGAGAAGGGATTGTGGGGTGATCATGACCCATAGGGGGTGCTTTCTCACTTTTTCTGTCTCTCAGGCAAGCACACGGGCCCTCTGGCAAATTAAAAAAGGAAAACAAAAAGGAGGGGACCAGCAGATGGCATAATGATTGCATCACTGGGCTCCCACATAGTTGAGCACAGTTGAAGTTCCAGACCTGGTCAAATTCACGCTAGGCATGTGTGCATGCATGCCCAAAACCCTGAGAGGAGAATGGAGAAGGAATTGCAGCATGGCCATCTCCCCTGGGGGGGTGATTCCTCACTTCTGTCTCTCTCTGGCGAGCACAGGCGCCCTACAGGGGGAAAAAATCTCTCTCTAAAAAAAAAAAAAAAAAAAAGGAAAAAAGGAATGTGAAGTTGACTAATAGACAGGGGCCATCCATTCTCGGGGTAGTCGGACTCTCCGGCCATAGCGGAGGGGTCTCCCACCCTACCATTTCAGCTTTCACTTCTAAAACCAACAGCCCGGTCTCAGACGACCGCCTCAGCAGCTTGAAGAGGGTGACAAAATCGATAGTGCCCGCCATGTGGGATGAACAGACTGAGTGCCTGCTGTCTCGGTGTCGTCCCTGGGGGAGGAATAGAATTGCAGATGTGAGAACACAAATGTGTGTACAGCCATGTTTTAGACGGTTCAGGGCCAATGGTTGCGACAGAGAGAGGAGGTAGGGCTGGAAGCCCCAGAGGGAGGACGAAGGATGGAGACGGGGGTTGGGGCAGGAGTGCCAGCACCTGCGAGGCTGGCACTGGAAGCCACCTGGGTCAGGCTTCCAGAGCCCAGTCCGCAACTAGGGCCTCGCACGGCAGCCACTGGGAGAATGCACCATCCAGGACCCAGGCCAGCTGGGCACACTGCCCACACCCTTCCTCTGCCTTCTCCGGCCTCACTCTCTCAGGCTCCCAGGAGTCCCGGGCAGGGCAGGGCAGGGCAGGGCAGGGCGGCCACAGCCCCTGGCACGAACCTCCCTTTTCAAGGAGACTGAGATGAACTCCATCCATCACCCCCAGAGCCCCGTGCTGAGCACACTTGTCACATCCGGCACCACGGCAGAACCTGGTGCTGAATGCCAAGTGGCTTCTGCTGCCTGGAGCCCTCTCGGCCTCTTCCACACCCTCTCTCTCGAAAGCTCTTCAGGCTCTTTTTCCTGGGGAAGCTGCCCACCTGGCCTAGGCAGACACCCCACCCCACCTGGGGTACGCCCATGATGCACCTGTTGCCTACAGGCGGTCGTGTGTCCCTGCAGGATGTAGAATGAGATAGCCAGGACCAGTGGGTTGTAAAAAGGAGCTTTAATGTCCCAGTGCTGAGAAGCCCCAGCGGGTGGGGCAAGGAGCCTGATGGGGCGCCCAGCCCCTGAATTCCAACCTCTGTGCTCCTCACCAAGCCCACAGCAGCCCTGCCCAGGAGCTGACTAACACCAGGGCGGGTAGACCCTCATGGGCCTGATCCCGTACTCATCCCTGACTCCAGGTTGGCTGGGTAGGACTTTGCATGGAGAGCAGCCCAGCCCGGCCAGGACCTAGGGTGGCTGAGGTCACTGAACCGATCACGGAAGACACCGTCTGTCACTGAAGTCCCATGGCCAAAACATCATCTCTGGCAGTGGCAGGCAGTCCTGCCAACAGGGAACTAGCAGCTGGTACCTCACACTTCCGACTCCAAGCTGGAGGTCCTCCGCCAGGTGCAGGGTCCAGGGAAGCCTTGCCTTCCGCAGGCCACCCTGCTGACCTCTTCCAGCCCCCCACTGTCCCTGTAGCCTGTGCTCGGCCCCGGGGTCCTGCCCCTGTGTGCTGGAGGCTCCCAGGCCTGAGTGATCCAGGGGCTGTGGCTGGCACAGGGTGGAAGGTGAGAGCAGACAGCCCCCCAGCAAAACGGCAGGTGGGCATGGGCGTGCAGGCAGACGTGTGCTCTGTGCTGCGGGGCGAGGACCCCTGTCGGAACGCCGTCCTGGCAGGCCTCCCGGTAGGACGGCAGCTGCATCGACTGTGCTTGCGCCAAGCGCCTGCAGGCCGGGTGGCTGTCCCGGTGGGCGCAGGCCGGGCCGGTGCACCCGGCAGGTGGCATCGAGCTGGGCCTAGCGAAAGCCTCGGCCACAGAGCAGGGCAGGGAAGCGTGGCGCGGGCGCGGGCACGGGCCTCGGGCCCAGGCCGCATGCAGGAG